CTAATGCATATACACAAATTAATAAAGACAGAATAAATAGCCACTGGTACCATTCCAGCAAAGGAATAAGAAGGGCAAAGGCATTTTCTGGAGGCACTAAACACATTCATTCATCTATTTTTTTTTTCTTAAGTAATCTCTACACCCAACATGGGGCTTGAACTTATAACCCCGAGATCAAGAGTGTATGCTCTACCGACTGAGACAGCCAGGCTCCCCAACCATTCATCTTTTCAGAAAAAAGAAATTCCCTTACACTGAATCCATAAACACGTAAACCCAAGAAAAAAGAAATAAAAGCATCTCTAAGTCTTAAACAAATCTTAACTTTCTATAATTACATAAGCTAGGCCAGACTTTGACTTATATAGCAGCAGATGGACATTCAAATTTCCTTCCAGGTAACTGAAAGAAATTACAGTGTTTTACATTAATCAAAAGAGGGAGAGAGATGAACAATGTTTCAACACATTTCCCTTGTGCCTCTTGGTGGGATCTACTTTTAGTGAGAGCCATTTAACATACACAATTACTAAATGTATATATAGAAAGGTATAAAAATTAGCTTTCATATCACAGTCTAAAAAATGATTAATGTAATCTTATTTGGTTAACAAGAAGAAAAAAGAACTCCATAAATAACCATCTAATTATAAGAACACAAATGTTATTTTATGGAGAAGTGAGTACATAAAACTTCTTAAATTGCTAATTATTATAAAGTCTGGTATAAAATAAACTATGTTGTGATGAGCACAAAAACATCACTAACTACAATCACAAGGTTTTGATCCTCAAATGCAAATTGGGTTCAGGTCCCAAAATTCTAAAATTCTACAAATGATGTGGTTCTACAGAACAATAATGAAGAAAAATAAGAGATTTTTTTAAAGATTTTTTATTCATTTATTTGAGAGAGATTGGGGGGGCAGAGGGAGAAGCAGACTCCCCACTGAGCAGGGAGCCCGACTCAGGGCTCAATCCCAGGACCCTGAGATCATGACCTGAGCCAAGGACAGACGCTTAACTGACTGAGCCACCCAGGTACCCCAGAAAAGTAAGAGTTTTAAATGAATGAAGATACACAAGGAAATATCATGGTGATGCAGTTAGGAGAAAGATCAAAGTATGATGAGCTCAGAGTTGTGACTGGAGCATTTAACCTCCACCTTAATATCCATGTGCCACTGAAATGTTAACAATAAATAGATTCCTAGCATTATTAATTTAATAAAACATAAAACATTTATTCAAGTAGTAACTTAGCTGAACTCACGTCCAGTGATGTTCCATTAAAAATATTAATCTTTTTGAAACTTATTTAATACTATCAGCAAGAAATGCCTATTAATGTGTGTATACATATTTATATAAATAAAAACATATGTGTGTGTGTATACTTATACACATGGACTCCACTGGCCAAATTAAAAAGTACAGTAAATAAAAGGAGAAATAGTATTTTGACCAAATCTGAATATCAGTAGTTTATACCATAATATATATTCATGAAATAAAATTATAATGTTACCATCATAATCTTTCAGAAAATTCTGATATTTCTGTGTAACTTGAAATCTGAAAACTTTTACTATGCAAGGATCAAATACTAAAACAAGTTATGTATATGTTTTGTCATTTAAAGTTATAAAACTAAAGGAAATCATATGCTCAAATGCAAATCCTCCATTAATCACTCAGAGATCCTTCTAGTATAAGAAAGATGGTTGTATACTGAATATTAGACTAGCTAAGAAAATATTTCAAGCCCTATTTATTTTTCTTAGTAATGGCTTCAATCTGAAATTATCTTTTTGTTTCTATTGGCATATCTTGGCAAATGGGTTTGCACACTGGGATACATTTTTCTTTGAGCCAGAAGTTATTCCTACTAAATTTAGATAGAAGTATTCCTGTATATACTGAAGTCAAATGTAAAAGAGAGTCAGGGCAATTATTCTGAGAACAGAGCAGGAAACCTTGCTACCCACGAACTGAGTAAAGTACCCAAGAACTCAAAACTTAACTAGCTTCACATCAACTGAATTAATTGACTGTACATTCCACTTATTATAGCCTCTTAAGCAATAGCCCAATTGACTATTTTCCAGGCAGGAATTCTGGCTACAGTATAGGCTACTGCTACCCGGTCAGTCGTGTTAAGCGTGCTCTAGGTATAGGCTGAACCCTAAAGAACAGCCAGAGAAATGAACTTCAGTGGCACAGCCTGGCTCTATGTTTGAACGAAACAGCTTAAGTCTTGACCAACAAGTTGCTCAAGATTATGCTCATACGGTTCTACAGAGAATGAAAAAGATACATGAAAATAAGCAAATTCCCTTTAAAGATATGGTACCCACCAAAAAATATCTTGAGTTCTAGGAGTCTAAACAACCAGAAGCTACAAATTTTCTAACCTTTGGCAAAAGGAGAATGGTAGAAAATTGTAAATAGGTTGCATGGCACTTACACTTTGTTAACTTTACTAGAATAACAGATGTGAAATTGTACACAGAATCACCACTTCATTGTGAACGAAGGAGATGAAGCTCTTTTGCACTACTGAGAGGGGGATCTAAATCAAATATAAATTTTGGTAATAATGGAGGATAATACAATAAACCCAAGCAGATATATATTTAGATTATAAATCTCTATCATAGTACACTATCATTTGTGCTTTGACCTTATGATTTTTCCATGCAAAGTTATCTTTTTATTTAACTTTTTTACCCCTTTTGCTAACAAGGAAATTTTCTTGTAAAAAAAGAAAACAAGCTACCAACCTTAACAAGATAACCTTAAGTATTAATGCTTTTTTAAAAAGTGTAAATCAATATATACAGTTGATAATATGAATTGATTGTTTTTAATAGGTTTCCACTGTTCCCGGTTATTATAACTCAGTTATCTTTAAGTGTTAGTTTAATTTACCAATTAACATAATAAAAGTCACACATCAAATCTGCGTAATGGATAACTTAAAGAGTACTGCCACTTTTCATACTCTACATAGAAAACACAACAAAACAAAAAAACAAACTATAAAACTTACTGTTATATTTGCACCCGTATTGCCATGACCCCAAATAATCAATTTTATTAACTCAGTAATAACACTAATAAATTTAGTAAACCCACATCCAGTGGATGAGGATGTTAAGCAGGCAGCCTGCAGTCTGTGAAGACAGACAGCAATGTCTGGAGAGAGGGTTGGGAATGCACAGATGGTATGCCACTAAAAGATTAGTGGGAAAGAACTCTTTCTCCCCATTTTTCAGTTTTCCTAAGGCCCTGATAAGCAGCAAGTGTTCCCCTTTTCACTGAAAATGACTTTGAGTGGCCTTTATCAGGAGCACTATAAAGTACCGTCACCTGATCTACTTCCTTTCCTTTTACTGTAAAGATATAGTTATTTTTACATCTAGAACATTTTATAATTCCTTTGTAAATATTATGATTTTGAAACTGGGAGGAAATTAAGATATCATTTAGTTTAAGCCCTTATTTTACTGCTAGGGGAAATGAGGTTCAGAGAAGCTATGATTTCATTTCTAATCTACATAAATATACCAGCGTGACTAAGAAGTTTAGAAATGTCATATTTAGTGTTATTAAAAGCAAGAGACAAACACACATAAGAAATGCTTCAAAAACACAAAGAAAAAAAGTACAAAAAAGAGCTCTCCCTCAGAATGGCTAGTCTTCTGTTCTGGTGTTAGTAGGAAACAGTAAATTAAATATAATGAGATTTCAGAAATGGATTAGGGAAAAGGTACTAAGTGATGAAAGTCTGAACACATGTAATGATTACAAACATAAAAATTATGTACAAAATACTTACCAAGTACATATTATATCTTGAGGAAAATCCATAAAATGAGAAATACAAAGCCTCTCATAATTATTTCCTACCCAATTTGTTTCTACCTCTATTTCATTACAAGAACAAAATATACAGCAAATTATGAAATGCACTTAATTCAAATCCCCAGTCCCCTTTTACATAAAGCACCTACATCACCAATTCCATTGCTACTTTAGCTGGGGGGTTTCTAAGTGATTACTCTCCTTATACTGAGCTGAGGTGAGACTGGAAAGCTCAGGACACAGAGTTTGATGATATCAAATTCTACACAGCTTGTTATGACTATTTCTAGGAAAGCATTCTAATACATTAAAATCTGTGTCAAAATAACTATTTGTATTAAATTTTAAAAACTTGGAAACTCAAATACATAGGCATGTTCCTCAGATACTTGCTCATGCCTATCATCAGAGACAACACAACATACATGTTTTTCTCATTGGAATCACCTAGATCAGTCCTTCCCAAAGTGTCTCTGGGGTTGAACAGAGGGACTTCATAATATGGCACATGGGTAAACACTTCCATCCTTACTATTTAAGTATGGGTTTTTATATGCTTTAGAAAAAATTACACATGGTTTTCTATTTTAGAAGTGAATCAATTTCAAAAAATACATTAAGTAAATAATAGTACAGGTGACATAAGTGAATATGGCCAAACTAAATGTCTAAGGTTTGGGAACTGCTGCCCATATGGTAACTTCTCTGGTGATGAGTTAATGTAAAGACTATTGTTGAAAGATGTGAAAATTTAAACTCAATTGTATTTTACTCTTCATAAGCCCGGGTAAATCAGCATAAGATAAAAGTAAGTTCTTTCAGTAGAAATTCATAGTATTATACTGAATATCACTGAAGGAAGCCTATGAAAATCAGCATTAATGAGTAAGACTCACCTCTCTTCCCATTATTCATAAAAACTTCCCAACTCACATAATTGTGGGGGACATATCAGTATCATTCTGCGTAGTACCACATGGACCACATTCTGGATAACACCAAAGTACTAAAACTGCTCAACACATTTGTGCCCAGCCCAGTCTGTGTTGTTTTTTTCCCTCGATAGAGGAAAATGTACCATAGAGGCTACCAAGAAGCTAAATTAAACAAATAAAAACTCAAATACTTACCGTTGCTGGAGAGGCCCGAGTGGTATGTGTCACTGAGTGGCCGGAGTTCTCCATTGAATTGCCGATGAGATAGGTTCCTCCAGAGCTGCTGATGAGTTGTCCTCCCGTGACGCCCATCTGAATCCCACCAGTGCCCACCATGCTGTGGGACGAAACCACGGTAGTCACCTGCGCAGAACTCCCTTGAGTATCAAAGTAATTCCCTCCAGTGTTTTGGCTGTACATCTGCGTTTCCGTGTAAGGATAAGTTGTTGTCCGGCTTTAGAAGAAGAAGGAAAAAGGGAGCAATTAGTAGCTTATTTATATCATCTTAATTAAGTTTTTTCTAGTGTGAATATATGCTTAAAATGTTAGCTTAGCCTTTGGAACAAGGAGAGTTTTGCATTTTTGTATGAAACTTCACTCCAGAAATGAAGGGTACGTTCGTTCCTTTAGTAAGTACCTCAACACTCCTCCGTACTTGAGAACTTTTGCCCTTGACCAGCGCCTACCTCCAGCACATAAATAAGCTCAGGTCTCATCCCGCCAAGAAATCTTGCTGAGCGACTTCTCCAATTCAGTATAGTGCTTCCTGCAGAACCCAGTTTTAGAAAAAGGGGCTGACAGGTCAACTCCCCGTGCTACTTCCCATTCCTGGGTGACTTCAATAAACCTCCGTGACCAAGGGAGTGTGGGTGGGTCTCTTTCTTGCCACCATAAGGACCTTGAGCAAACAGTTCACTCTCGTTGGACCCTCAATCCCTATCTCTACCTCCTTCTCTTCCTTCACACTCAGGTTCCTCCCTGAGGAGATGACTAGGCCACCCTTCACGTCCTTACGTTCAACTTAGCAACAAATGCAGTGAAGGTTCTGCCCTTAGCTTTTCATTGCAGTTGCTTATGACCAAATCTAAATACCAAGCTAAAAGGCTGCTGTCAGTCCTTATCTATTTTTGACCTATCAGCAGCACATCGTTGACCACCTCATGTTACCCTTTCCTTCCTTCTCCTGTTCTGAGTAAGCAGCTTATTTGCTTGATTTGTTTCTCATTTCCAATGGACTATCCCTTACATTTTAACCTGACTTTGGTTTTCACTTCTCCTTCTGAAATAATTATAAGCTCACAAGTTGCAAAAATAGTACAGAGAGGTATAAAATACTTTCACTTAAAACAAATTCAAATATCCAATGAAAATTCCCAATTCTAACATCATTCTCTTTAACCCCACATCCCACAGCCAGCCACTACTGACAATTTGGTGTGTATGTTCTCAGACATTTTTCTATCGTATATATAGAGTCTCTCGGTCCTAACTTCTCTTGCTCCTCAGTTTCTATGGCATTTCTTGTCCATTCTTTGTTTTTTTTTTGTTTGTTTGTTTGTTTTGGTTTTTTTTTTTCACCACTACCTAAAAAGACCTTTTGGAGGCTCTAGTTCTCTGGCACTTTAAATACTAGTATTTTCTGAGGTCTCCATTTTTAGCTCTTATTTTTTTCTCATTTTTATTCAGACCACTTATTTTTACCATAGGCATGCTCATACCTGAGTTAATCTCTCTCTCTACTTTGTGGTTATACTTGAAGAATTAAATCCTGGGTTTCTAACCATCACCTGGTTATCTCCACTAGGAAACCCCATGATAAATGGGAAGTCCCCATATGTAAAATTTAACTTATGGCTAAAAAGAAATTCCCTTTTTCTCTCACTCCTTTTCCTATACTCCCCCTCTCGGTGGAGGGCAGCACCACTATCCTCAGCTCACTCTTTCCTCATCTAGACTGACATCAGTCACTAAGTCTTACTAGTTTTACCTTCTAAATAATTCTCCAATCGTCCTTCCCATGCTCATACTCATTGCCTTCGCTCACAAGATTCTCTACTATAATTGCCCCCTAATTGGTTTTCCTTCCTCTAATTTGGTTCTTTTCCAATCTATCTTCACCTTTGCAGCCAGGGGAGCTTCCCCAAAATTCAAATATGAAACACAAACTTTTCTTAAAAACTTCTCCATGATTCTCCGTGGCCTGCAGAAGAAATTCAAAACCCTTGGCCTGCCTTACAAGATGCAGCAGGGCTGGTGCCTACATGATCTCTGGACAGGTGACTAGCTATGTCCTCAGATGCTTTCCTCACAGCACACTGACCTTTTCACTGGTTCCTCCCAGAATTATTTTTTTGTACACCTTGCCCTCTGTGGCCAATTCTTGTAGGGCTGTTATATTTTGTTCCCTGTACTTTACCAACACCCTGTGCATCCCTGAAACAGCTCTCAACACACTTATTAATTTCCTCGTGTCTTCATACTCCTGCGAAATTACGTTTTATTCCCATCTGTACCCTCAACACTTAAACAGTTGCTAGTATGTAGCAGGCACACTAGTCAAGAAATAAAAATATGATTCTATTTAAAAGTATATTTGACATAATGGCCACTTTCATAAATTTCTAAAACATAAATCCTTTTTTGTTTTGTTAAAATGTGAGAATTTATGTGAGAATTCTAAGATGTTTTGGCATCACTTAAAGCAGATCAAACCCATTACAAATTACACTTGTAATATAATCTATAGTGTAAATTTTAGTAAAATAATAAAGATGCTCCAAAACTATTCTCCACTGGGTAAAGTTACCACTTTCCCCACATCCAGGTATAAATTTTAGTTTGGAGTGATGAGTGAAATAACCCCACAGAGAACTTTTTTTTTTTTTACAGATAGAAAAATGCCATTTAAAATACACACACATCATCATTGCTCTATTTCCCAGCTGGAAGTCCATTTATATATTTCTTTCATTATACATTTATATAAGAAAAACCAGCCACGTTGCTTTCAAATTTAGGTAAAAAGAGAAATGTGCTCATTTTAATTTATGCCCACTAAATATGATAGTGACCCTATTTCACTGTGCTTAAATAACACAATCTGATGATGATATTTAAGTAAAGCTAAGTAAAGTGTAGAAATACATATATGACAATAAATACTTCCACAAAGCTGGGCATGGTGCTAGCTTTCCTTTTCACAGTCTGAACAAAATGATTAAGCGTGCTCGCAACACAAAGCTGATTTCACAAGTGAAACATATAATAGTTAATGGTCTCTAATATTTACTGACCATTTCCTATGCAACAGGCACTATTTAATGTGCTTTTCAGGTATTGACTCGTTTAATCTTCATTACAACTCTATGAGATAGGTACTATTATAATTTCTATTTCACAGACAACGTGAGTAATTGTTTAGAAAAGGTTAGAGAGATTACATAAGCTTTGTCCAAAGCAAACAGCTAGTAAAAAAAAAAAAGTAGATTTGGGGAGCACCTGAGTGGCTCAGTTGGTTAAGTGGTTAAATGTCTGCCTTTGGCTCAGGTAGGCCTCGCTGCTCAGCAGGGAACCTGCTTCTCCCTCTCCCTCTGCCCTTCCCCCTGCTTGTGCTCTCCTGCTCTCTCTTTCCCTCCCTCTCTTTGAAATAAATAAAATCTTTAAAAAAAAATAGATTTGGGAGTCTGCACTTAGCCCATGTTCTCAACCATTTCATCACATAAAAAGAACTTTTTGTGTATGTCATTATTTGTGAACGACTGTGGGAAACAGCCTCTACAGGTGTTACAGGGAAGGGATGAGCTTCCTGTTGCTCTCTGGGATTTGCTTACACCTGCGCTCACTGTTTACTAGAACCACACTTCCCTCTTCTCTTACTCAGAATAGAAACTGGGAGATGTCCTTGCAATGGTAATCGAGGAGAGATGGAGAAGGCGGGATTATTTCAGAGAACACTTACTCACCACACACTTGGCTTTTAGAGGTTCTGTGATCATGGAAGCCACTACTCTACCATAAGAGAAACATTCCAAAGGATTTAAATCACTCCATCTGTTGGGCATGCCTCCGGAATTCTCGGTGAACAACGGTAATACCAACCAATGCATCACGGATACATAAAATCTCTATAGCCCTCAAGTCAGTATGAAAACATGGCAACCCACTTTTATTTTCATACTTCCTTCAGGTAGGTAGAGATAATTTGTGAGCTAGAAAGTGAGAAAAGCACAGGAGAAGGGGAAACTCACTGAAGAGTGTGCCTGACTCACAAACTATCCTCATCACTCAATCATGACCCATGGGATGGGGGAGACGACTGGGCTACTGCACAGACATACATTGCGGTAAAGACTGACAATTTTGGGAGGGGAGGACAAAATTTATTAGGAAGTGAAGTGTCGAGAAGGGTTTTTGAATTTGTCTTCTGACAAATGTACCCTTGCAGTGGGAATGGAGGAGACTTTTAAACGGGGTAATAGAGGCAGACCACAATAACCTTAGTCCCTGTCCTTTAAAGGTAAGGATGGTAAGCATTAATGCATTGTTGGAGTCCTCTCTCCAGAGGCAGGGACAAAGTCATGCACAGATAACTCTGAAAGGTCTCTTCCATGTGTAAATGCTTTAAGCTCCTGGATAAATACTGAAAATTTTACGTAAAAAAAAAAAAAGAAGCACCAACAGCACAAAGTTCTTTCTTAGGTGCTGGAAGTAATGACTCTTTAATTCTGATACCTCAGATCAGCCTGTTTTTCATATTGTATAATAAATACATATGAGTTATTGCTTGAACACTATGTTCCCCCCCAATTTCCAAAACATATGTTCCAGAAAATTACTCAATATTTGGCATATCAGACTGAAAGCAGCTTACTATTTCTGGACCGTACATTCCTGAAAGAGCTAAATTCCCAAGCAGTTCTGTGCACATTTGAAAAGTGCTACTTTTCCTACTGTTCCTTTCGCTTGCTCTTTATTGATTGCCACAGACTGTTATGAAAATAATGTGTCGTATTATTTCTATAGCAGAAGAGAAGATTTTCCATTGTTCCGCATATGCATCCAGGAACGAATGTAAATACGTAGATAGGTGCATACTTGCTGACAAAAGCTTCTTCATAGCTGACTCTTTTATAAGGTTCTACGTAAACGTCAGGACTGATCCACTGAATTCAGTAAATTAGTGCTGTTTGCATCCCATCATGCCTCAGCATATACCCTGGCTAAGCATGACCCCGAATATTCCCTGCTTGCTTATTCACTAGGATGATTATGTCAAGCTACCTTAGCTATAACCCAATTTTCTGTTTCCTTTAGCTTCAAGTGTCTTATCCACAACTCCAAATACATAACATCTCCAAACTATGTGTTTTGTATTTTACCCAGGTTTTGAATATCCTCCCACCAATAAGCTAGTCAACTAGAAGATTAAGCAATGGCATGAAAATGGTAAATTAA